TGCAGCATCCATTGAGGTGAAGAAGGTTCATATAGATTTGTTACAGGAGATCCCACTGCTACTGCTGGGGGAAAGGGAGTTTCTTAAAATGCCCCCGTCAATCCTAATGAGGACCCTTGTAACCTTCGCGTAATCCCCCGTAGAGTGGTCCAAAGGCTTAAACTTCAGACTGTGAACTGTCCTGTCCGAGCTTCAGCTCATTTCTTTGTCATCTACATGCCCGCAGGTTTGAGTCATGTAGGCAAAAGGAAAGGATGAGGTGCGCAAGGTTGTAGTGATTGCAGCTTCAGGGACACATTGGAATGGGCTTCGGGGTATATGATGCTAGGATTGCGCACGGCTGAACGGTTCAGGGTAGTGTAAGTGGGCTTATCCTACTGAGGTCCTACTGCACGTGCATCTACCTATGAACCTTCCGTAGACCCTATAGACCCTAATTACACGAGACACCCCAAGTAGCCATGAACCTTGAAACAAGGCCAGGGCAAAGGGGGGCCCGTCGGCAACGGCCACGTGGTGCCACCAAAAGCTACTGCGAACTCTGGCCATGTGGTGCCGCCACGGAGTCAGCGGCTCAGTCAGTGTCTAGGGTGCTGGTTTTGTTCGCTCCCATGTGTTGCGCTCATCCCTCCCTCCCTGACAAAGCCTCTGGACCCCCGCAAAAATAGCTTTGGAAGAAACCAGCCAGCCACCCCCGGAACGAGGCTTGGGGTTTAGGGTAATGACTTTATTAAGCAACCAGTACTGGTTGTATCCCCACATCCCATGAAGTAAGACTTTCCCATGCCAATCAGAGCTTGGTGTGGATGGATAGTACCACCCTCTACCGCAAATGACGTGCCCGTTCCTTGACCGTAGATTTGGACAAGCCCTCACTCATTAGCCTACAAGGAAAACATGATTCGAGCAGAAAATCCAGAAATAGGAAGGTAATAGTCGGTGCTGATGGGCTCAACAGAGCGAGCCTTGCGCAGTGGAAAAAAATCCATTCCACTCATAGTCACAGCCTGGTGGTGAAAGTCACAGCTAACGCTGATTGAGTTGTGTTTGCAAGTTTTTCCGAGCAAGCCCAGCTCTCAGCAGGACTGCTAGTACTCAGTTGCAATCCCCATCAGCCCCACCAGGTTTTGAGAAGCTCTTGAGTGTAGGAGTCCAGCCAAAGCTTCCACTGAGGTTCCGCGCCATGGCAGTGGGGGACAGGCCTTTTGCCTTCTGCAGTCTCATCATGGCAAGTCCTGCTGGCTTCACGAGCTGAAGCCCCCGACAATTCCAACACAGCTTAGGGGTGATGCTCATAGTCCCAGACCAGACTTTCAACTAGGTCTACGTTGCACCTTCGCAAAGTTAGGCTTTGCACAAGCAACACAAGCAAGGGTGTTGTCTCTGGCCCCAAGCCCGAGACTAGACCCTAAACCCCTAGACCCTGAACCCTGACAGTGGGAGTACCGGGAGGTCTCGTGCCTTCAGCGCCTCGAGCACCTGGTGCAGAGGCCCGCCCTGCTACTCAAAGTTCTGGGCCTTCTTCCAAACCTAAGGGACTGGATTACATAGGACTACCTAGGGATCCACCCATATTCTGAACTAAGCATGCGCAAGCATGAGGATCCTGCATCTACAATTGCAATGGGGGCCCGCGCTTCTCAAAATGAAGGAATGCCAATCGAATTCGACAGGCGGCGCCTGGCTTCAGCACAGTACTCAAGTCCGCTGGATGGTTTTGTGTTTTGGTGTTCCTAGTGCTTGGAGTTTCATGGGTTGCTGTCAAATAACTGAATTATGACTACAGTTCGCACAAATCCGAACTTGATCCCACATTTAAAGGGCCAAGAGGCTGGAAGTAACGAATCAATCACGCTGTGATGTGTCACTGTGAAGAGAGCAATGGAACTTGGATCAGCCGCATCCCCAACCCACCCAGTTTGCAAAAGATTGCAAACTGGGAGACTTGCTTTCCCTTTGCGCGGGCCGAGGCTGTTATTGGGCCGAGGAAGGTCTTGGCTATCGAGCTTCAATTTCCCTAAAACCTTAGCCCGAGGTCAATTGCTTTCATACAAATGCCTGGGCCGGCGACAACTACTTCCAAGCCCTGAACTGAAACCGCACCACATCTCTCCTTCCCGTTCTCCCTCTCTGTACTGTTGAATGGCATGTAGCCGTAAGCCAGAAGGATAATGATATGGATTCATTCACCCCGAGGTCCCATGAGGACCGAGGTGTATAACTTAGTTGCGAAGTCTTCTGTGTAGTGGAACTGATTTGAGTTCAAAGTATGCGCTATACAGATACTTGTCGAATTAAGACCCAGAATCTAAGCCCTACCTCCGAATACAGAACCACATGCTTGAATGCTTGGAGGGAGGGGGTTCGTGCATATGCAGGCGTCTGGTGAGGATGACGAAGCGCAGAAATCTGAAAAGGAGCTCCAGGAGCTGTCTGGGCTCATACCTGAAAGCTTTTTGGTTTTGGAAGATGACCAGGGCCTAGAGTTGACGGTGTGGGGCTTCGGTTTTCGGGTCAAGCCTGAGATTCAGGATTACTAGCATCTAGCTTAAGGCTTGAAGTTTAGAGTTTAGACCAATGCTGTTGCTAGGCTTAATCATGCTGTCTCTCAAGTTCTTGATTGCTTGACTGTTAGGGGCATGCAAAGGGTGGGGATGGGAATATGTGTTGGGTATATTGGGACTACATAAGTTGCTCCACCCTCGTAGTTGTCCTGGACTGTGATGTATAGGATATGTGGCGTTAACGTGAAGATGATGTTGACAAACAGCGAGATCATAAGGAGAAGAACAATCTGCCCACAAGCGTGGCTAGGTTGCTAGACTGCTGCGGGATGCGCATTCAGGTTTCAAACTGATCTTCGCCTGCAAGGATTTTGGTCCGCTAGAAATTTTGGAAACTCGAATCCCAAAGCTTTAAACCAAAAATCCTACTGCAACCCCAATGCCAACTCCTTTACCCCAACCCCTAACCCTAAACTCCCTGATCCCTAGATCTAGGGAGCATTGAACCGAATCTACTTCAGGAGGCTTAGCGCTTTGGGATTAGGATTAGAATTTTGGGTTTGAGGCTTAGGCTTTTCTGTTGAGGTCTAGGCTGTAGGGGGCTGTTGGCCAAGGCTTCAGTTCGAACATCCATGCAATGGCTCATTGGCGTGGTTCCCTGAGCCGGGCCAACCTTGGAAAACGTTGAAGCACTGCGGCGTCAGAAATCCATGAAGCAGGTTTATCCGCCTAAATCTTAAACCTAAATCCTACATCTTGAAGAGGCAAGACCGCTGCATCTCGCAAAGGGAAGTCTTTGGCAGGACTTTCTCAGCAGCGCGCCGCTGCCTGGTGAAGCCTGGGGTGACGAGGAGCAGGAGGAGCATGCCAAGGCGCTGTAAGCGGGGAGTCAGGGCCTATACAATTGAAACAGGATCTTGGGTAGAAGGTATTGGGATCTTCTTCACAATGATTCTGGCTTCTACGTTTGCAGAGGGAGCTGGTTCATGCTTGTCGACCATCACGGTAGATCTTAATAAGGGCCCCGAAGCTCGTGCTTGGTGCGGTTTGCGCGGTTTCTGCGCTTCAGCAAAAGTAGGGTTCCCCATAAATAGGCAAATAGCCATACTCTCCCAAATATCAGGATCCATGGTCCATGTGCCTAAACCATAAAAAGACCTAAACCCCGAAGTCATCAAGTCACACACACACCTCAAAATGCTACAACTTGTGAGGCTGTGGAAGATGCGCAGCTCTCAAAGCCCAATAAGGAGCTGGAGGTGCCACGTGGGGTGTAGGTAGCACTGAACTGGCCGAAAGGGTTCACGTACCTGCAGATTTTGCAGTTTAGGTGTTCAGGGCTTGGCGGTGACAGCCGCGTGATAACCTCAGGAGAACTATGGTATAGCTGACTACACCCTAGTTTCAGGCATGAAGGACCCCATTGATAAGTATGGTCAGTGATGAAGGTTTGAGGTCCTGACTTGCAGGAGCGTTTTCCAGTCTTGTGTCATCTTCTTGTGTGTGGATGACTTCTCTCCTAAAAAGTCTGAGATTCAACCCATAACTCAGCCACGCATGATTTGGGCAAACTATCACTTCTGGACCTGTGGTTGTTTGGAGGGTCCTCAACCCTGCCCCAACCCTGCTCCAACCCCGGCAACCAAACTTGTCCAATGCCTGCCAGGCGTTCCTCAACGGAGCCCCCATGCCAGGGGCTTCCTGGGACGAGGATGACATGGAAGTAGAGGCACCCGTTCAGGACCGGGGCTTTGGGCCTAGGGATTTTGCACTGTTGGTAGCCAGAGTTGGAGTTTAGAATTCATTGGTCAAGGTTTCGGGGCTCAGCTTGGGATAAGGATTTAGGGTTCCGGGCGGTTTAGGGATTGTGCTTGAGGGTGATTATTTTTGGGTCTACGCAGAGTTCAGGTTTTTAGTGAGTGGAGTCACAGCCAGATGGCAGCTAGATACACAGCATGAAAATCTTCCAGCACCTGTACAAAACTTGTACCTATACTATAGCATACATATTTGGCCTGGGACCCTAAAGCTTGTTTCATGGCTAATGCCCTACCCGGGCCCAGGCTTTCAGAGGTTTTCACTGCCATATCTCCTTGTCAGTAGGGAACCAAAGAGGATTGTTGGGAAGTAGGCGGATGAGTTAGGCAGCATCGATGGATCTGTTTTTTTCTCTAAGTCACCCGACGCATCAAACACTGTCGATAAATTCAGAAGGGATCGAGGAGTGCTCCTCGTTTTGTGCACCGGTCCTCCGGTGCCTTCTGGGACAAACTGGCTGCAAGACTCAGACACTTCCTGCGCGTGCTCGTTTCAAGCCCCACGACCGACCGAAGGAGGAGCCGGAAGCGGTTCAGGCATCGAAGCCCCAAGCCAGGCATGCCGAGAGTGCTTGGATGGGGTGAAGATATGATATGCATTGAAGTTCGCGAGCTGGTGTTTGGCGCGTAGCTATTCTTTTATCTAGGTGGCTGGAGTGAGAGAGTTGCACTGTTCTAGGGCAGAGTTCAGGGATTGGGTATGACCTTGGAGGGTTGTTGGTGCTTCGGGACCGTCCAGCTTAGCAGCAGAATTAGGCCCTGCACTCTCGTTGGATATCTTGTGCTTGTGCAGTTTAACCTAAAACCCACGGCCCTTGCAGGAATCACACACTCTGGCCAACTGGCTATTGCCAAGGTCTCCCATGGCCCTAGGCCGTACACCAAAATCTTCGCTGCTTTGTTTGTATCCATGCCGGCTTGTCTGAATGAAGGTTCAAATCGCAAGGGTTCAGGCTTGATCCCGATTAAGTTGCAGAAGAATTGTAGTAATACTCAGGCTGGAGCCTGTCACAAGCAGCTTCCCTTTCCTTCAGCTACCACATAACTCATAACTATAGCATTTTTGTAACTCAGATTCATGTTCTACCGGGGTCTAGGACAGGAAGAGTTCTCCTACGACCCTTTTATGAAGGCCCGGCGAAGACTGGATGGACATGGATGAGCCGAAGTCCATGAGGCCTGCTGGGTCCTGATCATTAGGCCTTGGGGTGGAGGGTCGTGAGGATCCAGGGTCTTTGGGCTGGCTGGGCATTTTGGATGAAGGGCTCAGGGTTTGCGGTTAAGTTTCCTTCTGTGCTTGACTTCTGACTCCACTAGGTCAAGGGGTGTGGCGCTTCAGGCTTGGAGAGGAATTGAACCGAAGCCTTGCAGAAGAGCCAGCTGAAGCTTGCATCAGGAGGTCCTCCTCAAACTGTAAACCCTAGGCCTTGACAGCCTTTCGTCGATCTGATACCCAAACATTGCAAAGCTTGAAGACAAAATTCGGTCGTCCCAAAGCTGCAGAGAAGAAAACTTGAGAGTTGTCAATCTGCTGCTAACCTCCTGAATAGTCCCAACGTCTGCAGGGTACCCTTGTCGTGGGAAGTCCCAGTTTTTTACAGTACAGGGCTATATGCATTCTACACCCACGCTAAGCTTGGCGAGCTTCAACTTTACATTTCAGTCAGTAGGACGAGGAGAGGCTTCTGTCTGTCCATGAGCGGCTTTAGGGTCAGTGGCTTGGACAGCGTCCAAAAAATCTGGTCATATGCATGTTTGGGCATGAAGCATACCTGGACACAATCCGGGGTGTTCCGATCAAGTGGGTTCACATTCCGAAGGTAATAAGCCTCCCAAACCCCACACAACAGACCCTAGATCCTATTCTATAGTGATATTAGGCCCCAATATATTGCGTCAGCACATCAGCTGTGGAGCAAAGACAAGGTTCCCAGCGCCGAAGCGACCGGCCCCCAAAATGGAGGCGCATGGCGCATGGTCCAGGGCTTGGGATTTCGGGTTTGGGGATTACAGTTGTGGGTTCATTGTTGAATATTGTTGAGGCTTAGGGATTAAGGTCAGCGAGAATTTTTTAGAGATGTTGCAGGGCCCTCCAAATTTAGAGACCGTCTCAGCTTGACCCACAACTACATACAGCTGCTTTTTGCTTGGCAAATGTCTGCAGACCTGTTGCTGGCTTGAACTGCAAGAGCAGCCCCTACATAGCTATAATACAGTATACGCCAAAACTCGACTTCAAAGGTTTTAGCCCCAAATACCCTAAATCCAAATGTTTCAATGACAATAAACAAGCTGTCGCAGATCTTGTTTTGCTTTTTTTGGTGTACGGAGAGGGGGGGGGGGGTTGCAAGAATAAACGAGGGGGTTGGGGTAGGACTAGCTAGCGCAGCTCGTAGTATTAGTAGCACCAGTAGGAGGGGATAGTTTCGGGCGGGCAAAATTATTCTTGGCATTCTTGCATTATTGCCGATGGACCTTGTTTACACCTTTTCTTCCTCCGAACTTTTTAGAAAGCACGTGCAGTCTTCCGGGATTTGTTCCGGCTCAGCAACAGCAAATGTAATCTCAACATTAAACCAGCAGCAGGTTGTCAAACTGTTGCCTGTGCCAGGCGCCCGTGGCTTCCTTGAGCGAAATCCTTGGGGAAGCAGACGACGAAGAGCAAGAAGGTGAAGGTTCCTATCTCAACTTTGGCTGATGCAAATCTTCAGAGGTTTTGAGCGTTGCTTGCTGATGCTTACACCTAGTAGGAGGGGTGGGGGCCAGGCAGCAACAAGAAAGTAATGTACAAGCCTAAACACTTAGGCAATTCCCCTGTATCACGTCTAGTACAACGACCCCAAGACGCCTGCAGCAGAGTGAGCTTGTGCATGCCACTGGCATGAATAAGAAGAAGCCAAGAAAAGCATAGAATGTTGTTGCAAGTTGGCGAAAATTTGTAAAAGTGTTGACATCAGGACAAGGATTCAATGCATGCTTGTGTGGTCAGGAGTTCTGCTGGAGCCTGCTTCAAAAGCGCCCAGGACAGCCAGCGCAGGTATGAGTATTAGTATTCCATTCGTATTACTTATGACTGCATTTGTATATGGCTGTGAATCAAAAACACTGGGTTCGGAACAGGCTTCGGCTGCCATTCCGCGACATAGGTTTGTAACAGAATCTCCTGGCTTGCGACAAGCACCTTTGCGACAAGGTTCTTTTGTATAGCATGCCTTCGCCAAGCATTCGTGAAAACGGTATGTAACGGGTATGTAACAAGGGCCCACGACAAAACGGGGTTTTGATTCACAGCCATATATATGTATATGATATCCGTAAACTAGTCTGATTATGTGAGCAGTGGTTGTGCTTTTACGTGCAGAGATTGCCCGAGCAATGGTTGTGTTCATTTGCAGAGTCACGGAACTACAAACACTTGAGAGCTTGGGTAGGTAAGTTAAGTCACGAGCCCCCTAAGCGCTATTATCCTGCGTTTTAGCCCGAGATGTTACCAGCAGGATGCCTACTGAAGTGTTTGGCCTTCCAGGATTTTGTTCGTGGCTCCGAAGAATGATTGGGGTTTGGGGCTTAGGGATCAGTTCCGACAATGGCTGGTCCCCAGACCCATTCTATATGTACGGAACAATGGCCCGCGAGTGCATGCTTCAGTACTTACTGGCCCCTTAGATTAAAGTAGTCTACATCTTATATGCTCCAAGTGTTGAATATGTTTCACAGCAAGGATCGCCAGCCTCTTGGCGTCACTCCCTGCACCAAAAGGCCCCGTGTCTTGGTCAGATTGGGTTTGAAGTGTGGCAGGGGCCTGGAAATTTGAGAGGGCTGAGATCCTAGATCTACGAAAATGCCCCCAACCTTGCAAGCGAATCCCCACACCGTGCATGCTACCCGTGCGCACCATGCTTTCCATCCTTTGCCCACCGAGGCGTGAACCTCAAATTTGTCCAACTTCTGCAACTGCATTTTGAGATTGAGTTTGACCTCAGTGGAGAAGTTTGAGATGCAGGGAGTCTTATAAAGGTTGCGGGCTTTTTACTTTCCAGCCTGTATATATGGATGACGAACTACGACAGCACCGGGCATGCAACTTCCAGCTCATCAGCTCATGTGAGGATCTCAATCTCAAACCCAAAGCTCCAGCTCCGAGCAAGACTACGAAACATTAAGCTCCAGACCTCCTCCCGGGCAGGTTCATGAGCCTTGCCAGTCTCCTCCCTGTGGGGCGCTGAGCCACTGAGCTGTTTGACCAGCTCACCAGCTTTAGACGCGACAGCGCATTTAGATAGAAACCAGAGGAGTTAGGAAGATCATCACGTTATTATCGAGGTTCTATGTTAGCACATGCATTACCGACTTGTTTGCGCCTGCCTCTGAGAGCATCCTGGCATTGGATCATCATACATGACTCTGTCAAATCATGACCATCTTGTTGGCAAATGCCCAGGTTCCCGTGTTGCAGGGCTTTCAAGTTGTGCCATCCCGTGCATTTTTGTTAGTATTTCAGCGGGGAGAGGTGCTGCTGCCTGGGTCCTTTGCTAATCTGCTAATGAAAGGCACACAGCTGGTTTTGAGAACTGCCCAAATTTGGTGACCAAGGCCCAAGACTTGATCTGTGCCAGTACTGCGGGCTGCCACTCGCAGCAGGGCCCGGATGGCAGGAGAAAAGGAGATGGAACAGAAGATTGATTGAATGGGGTTTCAGATTTAGGATTTGAAGCTTAAGGTTAGCTTGCCACTTGGGCAGGTTTAGATGTTCAGAGACATTTTGCTACTGATACGGGCAACCGAACGCCATGGAGCTTGCACCCTTCACTTGCCCCTAAACCTTGAACCCTGAATCCTGAAGCTTCCTTTCGAAGTTGTACATTCAACCTCCAGCCTCCGCAGGTGAACGCCAGTTGCAAAGGACTGCCTGCTCGTGTTACCTTGCCGTCCCCCATGACCGACCCCAAATCCCCATATCCCCCTACATGTCTGACATTCTATTGCGATTCTTATGCCAGCCTTGCGTTGCCGTGGGGGTGAATGGTTCTAAGGTTCAGGGTTTTAGGGCTTGATTCTTGGGATTTCTGGCGTTTATGATCTGCAGGATCTGAGGTTTACGGTTGTTGGTTTTGGAGGGGCTTAGCGTTCAGGGTTTAAGTTTGTGTGAGCCAAGTCCAGGAATGACGCCACACTCGGTACCAACAGCCCTCGGCAGCGTCCCCAAAAGTTCTGGGCAAGGAGTTGGTGAGCTACTTGGAGGTTCGTGAGAAGTGAAAAGCAAGGCTACTTGCTTTTAAAAGCCGATACCCAATCAAGGCGATAGTTAGCTAAAGTTATGGTCATCCTATTCATTATGACCCAGCAAGGATTTCCCATTAACCTCCAAGTGCAACTTTGCTTCCCGGGAAGCTGAGCAGGCGGCACCTTAATCTAATTGGGACTATCCCCAAAGCCTGGGGCCAAGCTCTTGAAGACCTGGATTGGCAGATTGGCGCCCGCCAATCTCATCCTGCAAAATCTCTGGAACAGCTCTTTCAACTTCGTGGTCTGAGGGAAGCCCTGAACCCTAAACTGTGTGCGTCCTAGGCGCTCTCTATGTGGCCGAGATCCGCATGGCCATGACCGCGATCAAAGAGGCTGTGTTGTGGGATTTCTCACATAGGACCTCTTATCATCTTTCGTGGGTGCAAGGTCCTGGGCAACCAATCGCTCTAGACTACAGAACTGGTTCCCTGGGTTTAGACTGGAGAACTATCATTGGCATGAGCGAAGTTCTGAGTCGATTGTATCTTCGCATCTTTTGATTCACTGCTGAGCAGCTTTGGTGAACAGCTGCATCCCTAGCATTGTATAACCTCAGCTGTTTAGTATGAGTCCTTGAAAACTCTGGTTTCTCCGGCTGATCCCTGTCTCATCTTCAAGGCGTACCCTATGAACCCCCCGCAATCCCTACATATCCCCAGCATGCCAAGGGCAGCCCTGTTTTGAAAAACCTTCCATTTGAAACCCACTTTTAAACCCTAACCTGAAGCGACAAACCCTAGATGCTAAACTGCATCCTATAGATTTTAACCCTTGGCCAGGATAAGTGGGAGGAGCTTTGGAAAGGCGCCACCGCAGAGGCCGAGGGTTGCGGCACCTGATTTTTAAATACAGGATTGGGTTTTGGTGGACCCTAGAACTTATGTCGGTGCTTCTAAGATTCGCCGCGATTGTTCTCCCAAATGGTAGGATCGTTAGAAGGAACGTCATGCATTCGAAGGCCACGGTTCAGGGCCTATAGGGCTGCTTTTGGCTTTTCCTTCGGGACCCATTTGTACATGCAACTTATCTCAACCCTACTGGCGACTAAGGCACATTCAAGTAGTGAGTCTTGCTGTTGCTTGGCGCATAGATTTTGGTTAGCAAGGATTTGGACTTGAGCCTTTGGCTCCAAGAATCTCAATCATTCAGAACCCATAGAGACGGCAAGCGCATGAATGTTGTAGGAGTTCACAAGAGGCGTGCGCAACTTTTCTGTTTACCCGGCAGCAAAACATTTTACCAGGACCCGGCAGTCCCAAGCCAAGCTTCGGGAGGAGCCAGGGTACTCCAGAAAATTCGTGGGTCGGGGATCTTCGAAGTTATTCAGGCTTGTACGCACTTGACCCTTCCCACTGCAAGTTTTTTTGTTGGGGTGCTCCAGTAAGAGCCATGTGCACGGTTTTGGCTGAAGCTAAGCATTGGTCCCAACAGCGACATTGACAACAGATGCCCTCAGCCCAAAACCCAAACCAATTGTAAGCGAAGAGGCAAAGACACCGCTTCCGTCAGTGGTGAAAGATAAGAGTAAGGCCGGAGAGCAACTCTTGCCGGAGGATGCCTTACCACGGTCTCAGTTTAGAGTTCGCGGTTTAGGATCTAGGGTTTCTGGTCAATGAGGGAAGCAATAGTCATCGTCTATAGAATGCAAAAACTTAAGAGGCACATGTAGGAGGGTTTACGGGATCGCGTTGGCATCCGTGGATGGATGTCAGGGTGGAAAGTGGGACATGGCTCATGCAATTTGATCTGCTCTAAATTGTGTTCTCATTCTCCGTAGACCGGGTGGGGATTGTTTTGATCCTAGCGGGGCGTGGCATGCTTATAGAGTTTATAGAGTATCACAGATTAGGGTTCAGGCTTCAAGGGACGGCATCCACATTCTTATTGTGAGGATTCGGGATCCAGTTTGTGAGGTTTTCAGTATTTGCAATGCGGCAATTAGGACGGCACAGGCGAAGGCGAGAAAAAACACGCGGAAAGTGGCAAGCCAACCCTGAAGCCTCAATCCCCTAAACCATGTGCTTACCCAGGCTGCTGCCTCTTTGGGCTTGTTTGATCCTACCAGGCCCCTCTCCACGTCCTCCTGAAAGATGGAGAGCTCACGATTGGCAAGCTCGAGTCAGCCGCGGACTCAGCTCACCCGCTTCCTCAGAGCCCGGGAAGTACTGTACTTGGAGGTCCATGGGTGATTATAATGGAGATTATTCGCACCCCAAAAAAGGCGATAGGTAAGCTATGACTATTCCCGTTTCATTTTTTCACCATAATCCCATGGCAATACTCTAAATCCCAAACCCCATTCCAGCAGAAGTATGGGCGCCGTGAAGTCGATCAGCTGCGCTTTGTCGTCTCCCTCTCTCACTCTCTCAGATTTTCGCTCTTCACCAGGCACAGGCACAATAACTAACTAGGTTCGGGGCTTACGTTTAGGGTTGTGGGTTCAGGGCTTAGGGGTGCGGGTCCGCGGATTTAGCGTACAAACGGTCGCGAGGTCATTGCTTGTATATAGTTTCTGAGAACACTCTGCCAGGTCTAATTAGTGTGAAGGTCTCAACAACTTGCAACGGCAGGGAGATCTTCACATAAGGAGCTTCATGTAAGTGTATTGGCCGCACTCGTGGAAGCGACACTTGTACAGAAATGCCGGTGCAACTGCGCAGGTGCTACGATGTCCCAACGTGCAGAATGAGGTGGCCTTGGGTTTTTGTAAAGTTTAGGAAGTTTATTGCTTTGGACTTGGGATCGGGCGTTCATGTTCAAGGTGTAGGGTTCTAAGTCCCGGGATTACGTAATCATTAGAAGGACCCAAAGTAACGCTAGCATGACTGGCAAATCTTCTGCGAGCTTGTTGCCGATGTCTAACGAACTGTGCTGGTATTGCTTGTGTTTTGTCACGTCACTGTTCCCTCTCAGCACGGGCTGCTTTTCATTCCTGTGTGAATCGGTTCCCGCGTGGCTACGCAAGGTATCAAGCACATGGTTTTGCAACAACGAACGTGGCGGTCACAGTTGCTGCTAGGTTGGGCCTAGAGATGGAGATGCTGACCGCAACATAAGGCATTACTGTCAGGACCATGAAATTTGTTCGAAGCAACACAACACAAGTGAGGGTGTTGGGGCTGGCGATGCTGAACTGCCAGGCCTGCCCTTGTCACGGAGATAGTTGATTCATTGACGGATTTGTTGGATTATCGTTATTGATGATGCCGAGGACAATGATGATTCTGATCATGAATGATGGCTTGCATGGTTATCTTCAGGAGCTCCACCGACGCGACCAGAGCTCCGCTGCTTGCCCGCGCTTTGTGGGGATCTATTGCTTCAGTGTGTAGGTGTCTCTCAATTTTATGAGCCGTGTTTGGCGGTCCCTTTTGATACTGACTACACTATGCTGACACGATAGCTCCCTTGAAAAAGGCACGTGTTCAAGATTCCCAGTGTCTTGAACCCTCAACCCTGAGCCCTAAACCATGTCCAGAACTAGTTGCAAGCCAATACTGTCCAGCTTCGACTTCATGCAACACTCGTCTTGGAATCCTGGGCCAATGTCCGATCATGCATGTTCATTCATTCAGCTTGAGTACGACTTTGACATTCTGAGAGCAATTTTCACATTTCTCCATATTCCCAAAGCTGGGCGAACATCGCGATTTTACGAGATTCCAGGGGAAGTGCATCGGTTGCAGCTGCTCGTGGCGCCATTAGAGGACCCTAGACATTAAACCGTCTAAGAATCCGAGTATATACGGACATGTAAGACCTATGGTGATTTGCAATCCTCTGATGCTTCTGCTCTACGTGACTAGCTGCATGCATGATTGAAAGTGTTAGGGGCTATGTAAATGTACCAGGGTCCCGACATGTACCACCACCCGACATGTACCAACAAGACGGCACTTGCGTTCACA